ATTCTTTGAAAGTAGCTTCACTTTTTCTTAATTTATTTTATAATTTAATAGAAGATATATGAGACTGGAAACAAATTGTGGAAGATTTACACCTTTGAACTTTTCACTGGGCTGAGTTTTTTGTTGTTGCTCACATTGAATTTTGATTATCCTCTGAAATGTGATGATTTAATTTGGAAATTAAGAGTAGTAGTGTTACTTCTGTTGCATTAAGTATCTGCTGTTTGTATTCCCCAAAGTCTTCTTAAGTTTCATAACAGTTAAGCAACCATTTCTACTTTCTGAAAATTTTTTGGGAGTAACGTATGCTGTTAAGTGGCAATTCAACTTTTTGTTTTTATATCCAAGTGCAAATTTTAAAGCCTGTTGTAATTATTTGTGTAAAATAGTAGATTAATGTCAAAGAGAATTATTTTTGTTATAATAAATATGTTAAAATAAATACTTTTGTTTATTGCTTTTTGAAATATTCTGCAGATCAATATAGATGCATTTACACTGCTAATGATATGATTCATAGGTTACCGATAATGGGCATTCCACACACAAATATAGATTTCACACTATGCCAGTAATATGCTATCCCATAATAGTACTCCCCAAGACAATATTATCTCTACTAAAATATCTCAATAATATTCACACACTATATCTCATAATATGCGGTGGCTCAGTGGCTAAGACGCTGAGCTTGTCAATCAGAAAGGTCAGCAGTTTGGCAATTCGAATCTTTAGTGCTGTGTAACAGTGAGCTCCTATTACTTGTCCCAACTTGTGCCAATCTAGCAGTTTGAAAGCATATAAAAATGCAAGTAGAAAAATAGGGACCACTTTGGTGGGAAGGTAATAGTGTTCCATGCGCCTTTGGCATTTAGTCATGCTGGCCCCATGATCATGGAGATGGCTTTGGATAGTGCTGGCTTTTCGGCTTTGAAACGGAGATGAGCACTGCCCCCTAGAGTTGGGAACAACTAGCACATATGTACGAGGGAAACCTTTATATCTCATAATATAATATTCCTTGGGTAATTATGAAGAAATACTCCCACTGTTTACAGTTTTATAGCAAAGTGGGTTTTGGTAATAAAGCAGTTTTTCTTTGAATTACAATTAAAAGTAGCAAAGGATTTTTGCCAAAATCAACAGTTTTTTTAAAAAGTCTTTTTAAAATGTCTAATAGGATATAACCATAAATGATACCTTGCTATTTTAATTAAAACAATTTCATGCTATTTAAAAAACAGCTTTTATAAGGATTTTGGATTGTCCCCCATCTTGGTAATAAACATCTATTTTCCTTTTCATAACTGATAAGGAGTTGTCTGCCTGATGAGATATATTTTTTCAGTTCACTTCATGAATAATAAATAATCATGCCCAGAACAAAATATGATTCTTTTATTATAAGATGTAAGTTGCTTTGTGTACTTTGTGTTTTCACCTACCATTTTTATGAATTGTTGTCCATAGCAGCTGGCAATTTTTGCTTTCTCCAGAAGATTGATTTCGGTTCATTGAATAATAAAAACTATTACAAAAAGCTTTTTCCTACTCTTTCATGGTGATCTTGGCATTTTCAGACCAGATCTATATTACATGTAAAAATAATTAATACTATATATTTTAATGTAGTATTAATGTAACATAAATATGGAAAAAATTGTTGGTCTAAAAGTCTCCTCACACCACTGAGAACAGTTGTGTGCTCAAAATTAAATAAATCATGTAAGACTGGTCTTAATAGTTTCAAGATTTTCCCTAATTGCTCTGCTGCTGATAAGGATCTTTTTAACTGGTAAATTTTAGGGAGTGAAATGTACAGTATATATAAATGTATATCATGAAAATAGTAGGTGTTGTGATTAGATCAAGGGAGTCTTAGTTCCATTGCATCAGTACATTGCAAAATATGATATAGACATTTTCAGTTGTTTTTAATCTTTCTACTATGTGGACCTCCAATTTTAGATTATAAATTGTAGAAAAGTTTCAGAACCTGTGTGTCATCTCATAAATTTCCATCACAATTATTAAGGTAGTTAACTAAGTCTGTACATTTGTTTTTGAATCAGAAAACTGATTTTCTGAAACTCTATTATAAAAATCTATGGGTATGGAAATACTGTATGAATGATTGGGAATTTTCTAGGTGTTGTTGTTTTTTGTTTTTTTACTGTTAAAGGCAGATTAGGGAGAATGATAGTTAATGTTTTCAGCAATGGTATTTAACATGCAGTAATTTTAATGAAGTTGATGGTTTAACACAAAAGGAGCGGGAAACGGAAGCTTGAATACATTTCCAGAAAAGAAAATTTCAAAATTGTTTACATAATGTTTTTCCAGGATGAATCTTCCTGAAGAATGTTCCACCTAATTTTTATTGCACATTGCCCAACCCTCTGAGCAAGATGGCAATACTTAAATATGATAAATAAATTCTGTTTTCTGTGCAACGTGTAGTTCTTGTACCTCAACAATTAGAACCGAGAGCTATGTTGCCTCTAATAAAAGAATATAGCATAATAACATGTTATATGATATAACCTTATCATTTAAAGTGATCACTATTACTTCTGGTAATGAATTCTATAATTTAATTGCATGTGAGATAAATGATATCTGATCTGAAATAGCAGTATACAGTTTCATGGTCCAATCTTGTTCCTGAGAGAAAAATGCCTCTTTCAAACAGTGTCATTATCCCATACATCATTTTATACACATTTATACAGCATTATTGTTTTGTTTATTGTGTGTGTACCTTATGATGATGGCAGAGACAGTCTGCTGAATGGTTGATTTATGGTTGCCTAGGTTTTCCAGCACAACTAATATTAATTTATCACAGCAGATGCAATAACAATTAGCAACATTTCCTTATTAATTATCTACTAGCATTTCTGCCCTGTTTGTGTGTTCTAACTTGAACAGTACTTGCTGCTTCCTCCTTTTTCCTGGTTGCATTCCCTGCTATTTATTTAAGATATATTTTCTACATACATAAACTCCCTTCATGGGAAATTGCAGTAAAGTACTGCAAGTTTGTATGCATAGAATAAATTGTTCTTTTTTTCTTTTCAGAACTTACGCTGCATTGAATGTGGTCAGGCATAATAGTTATGATCAATTAATACAGCCCTCATTTTCCCTACATAATTGCTGTTTTTTATGAAGAGTGAGCGATAAAAATGATGTCTTTGATAGCAAACTAGTGCAATCAATAATTGTAGAGGATAATTTGCAGGAGCCACAAGTAACACATTCCAGAAAATAATTGAAATAAAATACCAAAACATTGTAAAAAGTTATTTAATGAGACCTTTGCAATCAGTACAAAAACTTAAATACAAAATTATTTCTGATTTTCATTTTTTATTTCTTTACCTTAGTAATCTGGCCTAAAGATCTTTGAATTGCCCATTGTTCTCAAATAGTTTGTGCTGTAATGCATTGAGATTTAAATAATGGAAATTCCACTTGCTATTTGTATACATCTATATTAGGATAATCTTTCAATTAAGCATGGAATTTTCATTTAAGATATAAAAACAATAAGGATTAGTCTAGATGGAATGTTTAAAACAAACGAAAAAGTAAATGGATGTTAAATAACTCATAGATTACTTTTCCTATGTCAAGGAGAAATCATAACTATCAAAGGAACTAGAATGGCCAAGTCCATTAATTCCTCAACTCTGATAAAGCTAGAAGTACTTCTGCACCATAGATGCTTCTACTCAAACCACCCATCTGGATTTGGACTGAGGTGTGTAAATGAGTATTTCATCCATATAAGGCTACCTCTAGCTATATGGCTGCCATGAATAAAAATTAGTTTTGTTAGGCATGGCAGAAAAGGAGTCCCTTTTCAAGCTTTTCCTGAATATATCCTTTGTCTATAACTTTTCAAGTAATAAGAGCAGAGATTCACTTGGTTAAATCCTGAGTGGAGATTAGACATTTCTACTCTAACATAGTTGTCTCCCCAGGAGTCCTTGCACTTCTTGAATACGTGCAATCGATGAGATCTGGGCAGCCCTAAACATGCAGCATCCAACATATCCTCTGTGGATCAAACAGGTGACACTGCACACAATGCTGTTGAAATTGGGATAGAGTTTTCACCACAAGATTTCTGTTAACCAGAAGAAAGGATGAAGTTAGTCCCCGGCAGTTCCTCCTGCTAAACAACCAATCCACATGGTAATTTCTTGCGCACCAGAATATTCCCAGTTACAGTTCTTATACATGCAAATATTGTTCAGTAGAGCCACAGGATTTCAGCACAGTCTATTCAGGTACATCTATGTCCTTCAAGTATCCTTCTAGAATCTGTGTTAACTGAAAATGGTAATTGGGAGTGTTTTCTACTGGGACTTACTAATACTTTAAAACAGTTATGGAAGTCCTTTCCATGTGCTAATCTTTGAAGACTGTTAAATTGATAAGAAAACAAAAACGAAGCCTTTCATCAGTAACTTCATGCTTCTCAGATGGGTTGCTATGCAGTATATGTTGCAAGTTTAGGAATCTGAGGTAATCTCTTTACTCTTTCATGTACATCTCTTAATGGACTGGTTTGAGTTTCAGCTGGTTTAGATTTTAAAACTGTCAGTGCTGGATGTTTGTTGATTTTCTTTTTTCTTTTTTGCTGTTTTATTCTTGAATAGGATTTTATTACATCAGTGGTTCTTTGAAGACTTTTATCTTTAGTGGCAGACTGGAAATAGTTAATGTATTATTATGGTCAGTTGCATAGTCAACCAGATTTTAAGACTTGATTTGGCATTGTTAGCTACCTATTAAGTTCTTCTGAAGGACCTGGGATAGTCACACAAGGTATCTTGGTACTAATTTTGCTTTCTTTTGACACAGTCATTCCGCCTCTATTTACCGGTCTTTATATTTCTTTTATTTTCTTCAGTTCTTTCACTTCTATTCTGCTGTCTTTCTAGTGCAGGGGTGTCAAACTCATGGCCCGTGGACTGGATGTGTCAGATGCTGGTCATGCCCACTCCCAGTTTAGCAAAGGGGAAAAACATGACGACATGTGTTTGACACCCCTGTTCTAGTGTATTATCTACTATCCAGACTGTTTTGTCTTATCCATAATTGTGAAGACTGATGTGTTAGGTGGCAAGTCTTTGTATGTTTGAATTCTAAAGTTCCAGATACTTTAGCTTCTTCACATTCTATTACTAGCATTTTGTGGTTCTACCAGTTCTTGCTTACAGGCAGGTGATATTTCTTGCAGATATTCCAATGTACCAATGTTGCTACTTAGTTAGGCCATTGCTTGTTGTCAGTCTGTGTGAACTTTTGTAGGAGCTTACTAAGTGATGCACTGTTTCTGCAGATTTGTTGCAGAGGTGGCATTTGCTTTCTGTTGCTGGCTTCTCAATTCTAGTGTTGCATGAATTTGTTCTTAAGCCTCGGTCTTGAACAGCCAGCATTAGCCCATCTGCCTCTTTCTTCAGCTTTACTATTGTTGCAAGCACTTGTTTTTATTTGCTTTGTCTGCAATTTTTCTTAATGTACTGGGCATGTAATACTTTGCCATGCCATGCCTCTTATTATTATTATGTACACAACAATGTGAAATTACAGGTGCCAGTTCTTTAGCTGTGTTGGCCTTCATACTCACTTCCCAATAACCTAGATATCATAATTATTGGCATGGCATATGAGTGACACTAATAATCAATAAAAGTTATTATTATTATTACACACTATTAAGTTGGTGTCAATTCTTGGCAACCAGATAGATAGACTTTATTCAGGATGAAATAATAATAGCCGCTTTGCTGCTCCCACAAACATATGACTTTCTAATCTCCATGTATTTAAAAGCCATTTAGCCAAAATAGGCTTTTAGGAATAATCCATAGGATAGTTGAACTGAAGATAGTTACTCTATTATATGCTATTGCCTTTACATAACTCATACTGGATAAATCACACAATATACAAAACTAAAGGACTGTGCTATTCTCAGTCATTGCTAACCACCTTTTCCAGTATTTGTTAAAGGACCTAGGAAAATGAACAATGAATAAACTTCTATTTTGAGCATATCAAACATCCAGTCCTATCATTTCTTGATCAAAATTTGCAACAATGATTTCCAAGTGAAAAAGGATCACTCATTCCCTATTTGTGTATCAGGTAATTCAGACTTACCTGATTTCAGATACACATTGCCATTTTCTGTATTTATATTCTGTGATCCATAAATCAATATGAAACTGTTAATCTATGCTGCACTAACATTATTTAGTTTGTAAATACCATTTTACCTCTAAATCATTGATTTAAACTATTCCACAAACCAATCTGGAAATATAAACATTTACTTGTAATATGAATATGGTCTATTGCTTGTTGGAGAAAAGAAATCAATGCCATAGATTTCAGTCAATTTGCTAATAATTAAATTGCTTTCTAACACTGAGATTTGTCCTTTTCTACTATTTTTGTCAGTATAACCAGATTAAAATCTTCACATAAAAATAGAAACTTTGGCAAAGAGAAGTTGGTACATAATTACGGAGCCTTCTTGAAGTCATTGCAGTTTTTGTTATAAATAAATCTTTATAGTATTATTATAGAATAAATGTTTGTATCTTTGTCTATCACCTTCCACTTGAAAGTTTCACCCTAGAAGGAAGTGATCAGTAAACACTGAATGTAAATCCTGACAGGACATTATTTTTAATTCAAAAAAGCAGAGAAATGTTGAAAAGATTCATTGTACAGCAGCAAGCCAATTAATGCTGGGCTTATCAATAGTTTTTCTTTATAACAAGCTGTACATAAAATGTTTAAATTTGTAATTTTATTTTAATATTGTACATGTTGGTCCAAGAACGATCAATAAATGCACCTTTCAATGGTATAGATTTGGAAACATAGAAAAAAGAGCTTTCATTTGATCTGAGTGTGCAGTTTACATTGGATACAATAAATATCCAGAAAAAGATGAGTGAACGTATTGCCCAGCATAAAGTCCCGCCGCCTGTTCAGAGGGCATCTGGATATAAACTCTGTCACCGTGCATCAGCTGAACAACGGCACTTCCAGAAGCTTGGTCCAGGAAACCTTTCTTGTATTCATCATACGTGTACATCAATGGCTCATTGTTTTTAAATAATGCCACCCAGACATTTCCCCCTTTGCAGTGTATGTGGTAAGCGAAGTAATAGATCCCAGGGATTTCACAGGTAAAGACACCAGTCTGTGGATTATAATTCTGCCTGCCATTATAAAGGAGCTTGTCAAAGATCACAGGAACCCTGACCCGTGGGAAAGGAGTGGTGAGCTCAGCCGTGAAAGCCGGCATTTCATAGGTGGTAGTGGCAGCGGCGGCAGCGGCGGCGGCAGCACTGTTTTTGCTTTTCTTCCCCTTATAACCATATGGAGTCTTTATTCCATCAAGGCCTGGCCCTATCTCTGGCAAATAGTGTCCCATTGCTGGCGGTGTAGGTTGCATTATTATTGGAGGGCCAGGGGGGCCAGGGGGACCAGGAGGTCCTTGGAGACCTGGCTGGCCAGGAGCACCAAGCGATCCAGGTTTCCCTGGTGGTCCAGGTATCCCTGAAACACCAGGTTTCCCCATTCCTGGAAAACCTGGCGGGCCTGGCAAACCCCGTTCACCTTTAGTTCCAGGTAGTCCAGGAGGTCCAATGGGGCCACTTGGTCCTGCAATACCTGGGATTCCAGTAGGGCCCTGATGGCCTTGAGTTCCTGGCTTTCCAGGTTCTCCCTTGGGGCCCATCAGTCCATGAGCACCAGGCAAACCTGGCAAACCTTTGTGACCAGCTTCTCCTTTTGGTCCAATTGGACCAGGCAAGCCTCTCAGACCTGATGGGCCCACCTCTCCTGGAAAACCAGGTTTACCTGGGAAACCTTGCAAACCAAGCTCACCTTTGGGACCAATAGGTCCTGGAGGCCCAACAGCTCCAAATTCTCCTTTTGGACCTGGGAATCCCATAACACCTGAGGGCCCCATTAACCCAGGCTGGCCTGGTTGGCCTGGTTCCCCTGGAGGCCCAGCCATGCCAGGTGGGCCCACATAACCTTTTTCACCCTTAGGTCCCAATGGGCCCGGAGCACCACCCATGCCCCGATCACCTTTAGGACCAGGGAAACCTGGCTTTCCAATCCCGGGAGCACCAGGTGACCCTGGTAAACCTGGCAGGCCTTGTTCCCCTTTCCCACCTGGCATGCCTGACTGTCCTGGGATTCCATCTTGTCCTGGCTTCCCTATACCTGGAAGACCAGGAGGACCTTGAATTCCAGGACTCCCAGCTAAGCCCTTTGGCCCTCTTTCCCCTGGAATTCCTGGTTTGCCTATAGCTCCCTGAGGGCCTGGAAAACCTATCATTCCTGGTTTGCCTATTCCAGGAAGTCCAACAGGACCGGGAGGACCTGGTAAACCAGGAGGTCCTCTTAGCCCCGGTAACCCTGGAATCCCCACACCTTTATCTCCTTTTGGGCCTTGGGGGCCTTGTATCCCAGGTTGCCCTTTCATTCCTGGCTCGCCCTTTCCTCCTGGTTGTCCTGGTGATCCTCTGTCGCCTGGTTTTCCTATTCCAGGCAGTCCTTGAGGTCCTGGTGGTCCTTTGGGTCCTGGAATTCCCATAGATCCACTCTCCCCCTTTGGCCCCATTTCACCTCTTGATCCGGGAGGCCCCATTGCTCCTGGTTTTCCTGGCATTCCAGGCATGCCTGGTTTTCCAATTCCTGGGTATCCTTGCGGTCCTGGTTTTCCTTTAGCTCCTGGTACTCCGTGTCCTGGCAGCCCCGGAGATCCTGGAGGCCCTCTTGGTCCAGGCTCTCCAGGAGGACCCTGCTCACCTCTCAAGCTGGCTAATGGCAATTCTGCTTTTTAAAGAGAGAAGGAGAAATAAATAAAGAAAAGAATATTAACTTTCATCCTGACTTTCATCTAGATTCGCTGGCTGGGGAATTCTGGGAGTTGAAGTCCGGACATCTTCAAGTGGCCAAGGTTGAGAAACACTGATCTAGATGACACCAATATGCTTCAAGAGGAATTGATGTATCAGCCTGCTGGCTGGATTATTTTTACAGTATAGTTGATGTTCAAAAAGAAGGATGGATTTCCTCCTTTCAAAGAGCATTAGCAATTTTGTGATCAATGCTGCTGGCCCCCCCAATTTTTATTTTTATTTTTGCTTTCCTAAATTGTTCCTGATGAATTAGATCCATATTTCAAGTTGATATTTCTATGTGTTTTGATGCAGCAAAATCTAGAAAAGTAAAGAAAAATGACTTGTTGGAAAGGATCACATCGTGACTTCTCCGAATGTGGAAGATAAGGATACGAAAATGGGAGCGGACAAGATGCACACTCTTGCCACTCTCTGTATTTCACTAAAATTTAGAATTTAGAATTTTAGAATTTATTTGTTATTTATAGGCCGCCCTTTTCCCTGAGGGGACTCAGGGCGGCTTACAGTTCATGGGAAGGGGGGTGCAAGATAAAACATAAGACAGTGCGTAAATAAAAAATAAAACAATAAAACACAACTTTCATTCAGCATTCGGGTGGGGCGGATTAGAATCTTATCCCCAGGCCTGACGGGATAGCCAGTTCTTAAGGGCTGTGCGGAAGGTCTGGACGGTGGTGAGGGTGCGAATCTCCACGGGGAGATCGTTCCAAAGGGTCGGAGCTGCTACTGAGAAGGCTCTCCTCCGCGTAGTCACCAGTCAGCACTGACTGGCGGATGGAACTCGGAGGAGGCCTAATCTGTGCGATCTAATCGGTCGAAGGGAGGTAATCGGCAGGAGGCGGTCTCTCAAGTACTCAGATCCACTACCATGGAGAGATTTATGGATGGTAAGTAGCACCTTGAAGCGCACCCGGAGATCAACAGGTAGCCAGCGCAGCTCGCGGAGGATAGTATTGTATCCGAATTGTATTCGGCTTTAGTGCAAGTGACAATGTTTTATATTGTACTAAAGAGAAGAAGCTGCTTGCCAATGGCCTCTCACAAGATCACATTCCAGAACCTGCCCTTTGAGGCAGCCATCTCACTCTGCCTAAAGCAGGTATGAGAACATTTTGGTAACAGGACAGAATAAACTTAACATTTGGAAATGGGTGAGGAAAATGACCAATTTTGGTGCACAACTAGAAATAAGGAGTTGAAAAAAAAGGGATGTTTAAACATCTCGGCTTGTTGCCAACTCTCTGTAAACTTAAGTTCATAGCTGTTTCGGAATAAATGCACAAGCTGTCTTGCCCCCCCCCCCCAAAAAAAGCTCAACAAAAAATTCTTCACAAATGTTGACTTTTGCAATATATTCTATGCATTTGGGTAAAGTCAATATATGAAACTTGTCTTCTCTTCCATCCTGTATAATGTAATAATTAGGATTCTGGAAGAGGGATCAGAGAGGGTCATTTTCAACTCCAGCCTCAGCTATGGAACCTCATCAGGAGACCTTGGTCCAGTCACTAAGCCCACCCAACTTCACATCTTGCCCATATTACCTTTCTGTTTCTTTGAAATCCTCTCCTTGCCAAGCATGGGGATCTGTGGAATTTCTTTTATATACTGAGGTATATATTCTTTTCCATATGATAGATGTGGTCCCTCCTTTCCCATGTGCTGCATTGGCACTCCATCTTTACCCAGTGGCATGTGAGGTACTTGTTGCCCAAGGGGTTGGTACTGTGGCACTTGGGGAGGCATCGGCTTGATCCCATAATAAGCACCAGCTTGGATAGATCTCAGTAGCCCAAGGTAAATGATTAGCCATGCAGGTGCTAGCAATATATCCATAATCTGCAACAACAAATAAATCGTTCTCAAAATAGAAAAACAGCAAGAACTAATGTAAGAAACTTAATTTTGGACAATGAAAATTATCCCCGGTAAGAAGGTATTTCCTTTTGGTAATATTTTTAGCTATTCTGCATTAAAGCAAACAGAGCTGGTTTTAGGTCTTATGCATCCTTATGGTATTTCTGGCATTTTAGCTTTGGAAGCATAAAGATAACTATGAACTGCTAAGTTATGTTTATAATATTGCTTTGGGAAAATTATTCCATTACATTGCAGAATATTAAAATGATGATTTTCAGTGGGAATATAATTGGAGTTTCCAACAATGCTTTGGAAGATGTTTTGATGAAAAAAGAATAAGGGGGAAGCTTTCAAGATTTTTGTAAACATGTAGTTGTTTTGAAAAAAAGAGAAGGAAAAGACAAATGCCTAGAAATGATAAAATACAATAGTTCATGGAAATGTTTGCATAGTAATATAACAAAACATTAAAAGAAATTGTGAATTAAGATAAAAATTAAAAGACAGTTTGAATATACTTATAAATTTGAAATGGTAGCCTGCACTTGTTGAGTCTTTCAGAGGCTGGGTACATGGCAGGAAGAATCCCTGTTTATTAAGGATCCTTATGTTATTTCTGTGCTGGAGAATTTTTCACTGAGAGAGCACCTTCGCCTGAAGACTTAGTTGTCCCAGGAGAACAACAGTTTCAAGGAACCACAAGGAAGAGCTGAAGAATTCAGGACTTTCAGAAATTGTCATTCTAGGTCTGATGCCTACAACAGTGTTTCCCAAACTTTTGATATATGTGTACCCCTTCTATAATTTTCATAAAGCTGAGTACCCCTCATAAAAAACGCTGAGTACCCCTCATAACTACAT